TTGTTATTGGCCACTGCAAACATAGTCAGATAAACCTTTCAAACACTTAACCATTGTGATTAAAGAGTAGTGTGGGTGCAGTGTGGAATAAATCATTGCAATAACTTTGAAATTAAAATATTTGAGATACAGAACACTAACTGTACTTGAACTATTTAATAGCATTAGAATAGATGTATTTCTCTTCCATGGCATCTTGGTTCTCTTTTCTTTATTGATGGTGAGTTTTCCCTGGTTTTGTAGGCTTGTGCTGGCCTCACTTGGGCACCTACTGCCTTTGCCATGAAAGCAATGTTGTTGCCAGTGAATGCTGAAGCACTTTTGGACATATATACCTCCTCTGGATTACCTAATTTTCTGTCATAGTAAGTGTGCAGGGAATAGGGATATGGTACTGTGTAAGTGGGGCCTTGCAGAATGTGGGTTAGACAGATTTTCAGCCAGGTGGCTTTGGAAGCAGTGGAAACTATTACTGGTGATTTGAGGTTCTGGGGTCAGACGCCTCATTCTGGACCGCAGAAGTGTTATCCCTGCTGCTTCAGGAAGACCTGCAGAACCTTTTATTCGCTGCTTTGTTAGATTGCTACCACGGTTTATTTGAACACTGTTTAAGGAGTAGTGATTTCATGGATGTCCCTTGCCTTCTGCTTGTTTTGTTAGGAACAAGCGCTTACGCTGTAGTATTAGTGATCCTCTTTCAGTAGGTGACACTGTATGCATTCTGTTGCTTGTCTTCTTTTCTACTAAAGTGTAAACTGTCCTGTCGCACAGTTCCTAAGGAGATCAGTGATGCATTTTCTGTGATTTAGAAAAGTTTATAATCTATGGATAGGCTTCAGTCAGTTATGGTTTGTTTTGAAGTGATGTTTGCAGCATTAAATTATGTTAAAAAAGATCTTTAAGTAGAACTCAACTCTATAATTTATTAAGTTCCCAGCTTGAAGAATAGCAAACCAACTACTTTTAAAGTGTTATCTGATCCAATGCCTTGGTGTGTTGCAGCACTGTTGCTGCAAAGAGCTACTTGTGAAATTTCAAATGTGGTCGGTCCTTAGGTCATGCAGAAGGCTAACTATAGAAAGAGGAACTGAAGAAACTAGTGAGGAACTAGAGAGTTTTAGATTGATTTTTTTCACCTCATCCCCTTGAAGAAAACTTGCTGCTTCACATGTTGTGTTGGGTCTCAACTTTAGGTGCAAAATTAATGAGTCTTCTGTAATCAACAGCGTATCAGAGATTAGTTACTGGGTTTTGGCAGTCTTCAGCTTAGGCTTCACTGGGTAACTTCACAGCAGAACCTGCATGGTGATCTTAACAATTTTTTCACGTTATTAATATGTTTGTTTTGAGTTGTGATAGATTTGGTATTACCACTGTTAGCAAGCCCTTAACTTCAAGAGTTGTCAAAAAGCAGTTGGCAGTAGTAGTCAGTTTCTACACTAAGTATAAATGATAGGCTAAGAATGAACAGCATACTGAAGAAAGTGGGCTGGAGTCTCTTTTCTGTCTGCCGCAAATGGGAAAGGCTATCTTGGTGGTGAGGTGATAAAAGGTGTGGATGAGGCACTGTAGAAGGAAAATATATTGAAAAGAAAAAAAATTTGAGAGGCTAAGGGAAGGGGAAAGAAAGAAGAGATGAATGTAAAAAGGAAAGTCTGTGTGTTGGGGGGATGTGACTGAAGAAGCTGGAAGGTGAGAGTAAAGTTAGTAAAATTTTGTCATGCTTTACTCATGTATGTAATGAGTAGTATCAGCTGAGCAATGCATGGAAATGTACGTAGGTACATATTCACGCTAACTGCCTGAGAACTTCTGGTAAAATACAAGTAGTGTTTAATGCTGCACAAGTGGCATACCGCTGCCGCCTAGGAGCTCTGAGTGACAAAGTGACGCAGTGCTTGTTGAGCCCTATGTGTAGCAATCGTAGGGTTCCTTGAATCATTATTTCTAAACGCATTTGCTGACCAGCGTTGAGGGGAAAGGAATGGTGTTTGTTCCATGTCATTGCTCTGTTTTTATTTTTGTTCATCACAGCTGACAGGGGATTTCTTAGAAAAATGAGCAAGTCAAAAGATACGTAATGACCTTGATGAGTATTTATCTCTAAGCATTTTAAATCTGTGTTTACTGGTTATGGTTCATAGCTGCATCATGAGAGTATACACTCTCCAACAAAGTACAGCCAGCTGCCTTACGGAGAATTAAAACAATCATGTACCAGTGAAGACATGAAACCTGTATTTCTAATTGACAATGTTCCTCATTCAGAATACAAATGCTTTTAAGTGGAATTTGACTAGTTCACACCTTTCACAGAAAGAAAAGAGCTGTTTAGAATTTGCACTGACAGTTATTCAGAAGCTTAAATATCTCATGTAAGAGGCTGCATCACCAATAGCATTGGTGGCACAAAGCTAGATCAAGACTTCAGTTGAACAACTGTTCTTTGCCACAGCCTGGTTTCTGCTCCTGCGTATGATGTGCAGTCTTCTTTAACCTGTGAGATGCTATGGATGTAAGGCAAAAGATGAAATTATCTTTCATAGCTTTGTAATAATACAATTATCAGTTATGTAACATGATACATAGTAATCTTCTTCAGATAGTTGTTCAAATTACTTTCTTCCAGCTGGGTTCTGCAGTGCTGGTTTTGCAGGTTCCCATAAGGACGTATTTAATTATTTTTTACGGAGTAGTACACTGCAGCTTAATGTTATTGCGCGAGTTGTGTGGCTGTAGTTATTTTCTGTGCATTTCTTTTTGTCCCTTGTAGGTGTATCCAGATGAGTCTCATCTCAGGTTTGTCTCCTCAAATGGTGTTGATGGTGGTACTAGTTTTCACTTGAGAATAACTTACTAAATTGTAAAGAGGCTTTTCAAGACATTTATACTTTATTAACCTGCTGGTTGGCATGTTTGATCTGCACTAGTTTGCACTGTCTAGGGTTTGAGGCGATTTGCATCTTCTCTTGACAAATTAAAACAATATTGCTAATGTGGACAGCCTCAGAGTTCAAGCTGCCTAGGGGCAGTTCTGCCTATATTGGCTAGTGTACTGATGATGTGAGCTTACTTAATTTCCAGAGGGATTCTGAAATTCATAAACTGTTTGGATTTTGAGTTCTGGATACTGTTACTAAATTTCTTAAAGACAGTAGCAATATTTGCTTACATCGGTTCTGGAATAAACTCAGTTGAGATACTGCAAGAAAGATTTAATTTCATTTTGTTTTGAGGTAAGAACACGCTCATCATTGTTTGAGGTTTTTAAGCTATCAAAGGCTGCCTCAGACATCCCTTGGCAAAAAAAATAGCTGATGTAGAAGTGTTTGCTGAGGAAATATTACTGCATGCTCTTGAGTAATCTGAACAGCTTTCTGCTTTTGTTTTTTTCTTTCTGCTTTTCTCAAAGCTGCTGTTTTGAATGCTTGTTTTGCTTGTGTGGGGCTTTTAGAGGTAAGAATGAGGGGTATCATCTGGAGGCACTGTGATACTGAAGGAATGTGGGGAATGGCTTGAGTAAGGTGTCCTCGTCTGTGTCTCAGCTCCAAAAATCTGTTTGATCTAACCTGGTACTGCTATTCCTGTACCATAGGTAATACAATGGTTGATGGGGTAATACCGTGACAGCAAAGCTCTTAAAACACTTGCCAGAAGATCTACTGCAGAGCTTTAGAAAGCAAAGGCTTAGAAATAGGTCAATAGCAAAGCTCCAATGGAACTGTAATAAACATAGCTGGCTCTGCCTGAGAGGGAAGTTTTCCAGTTATTATCTTATCTTGCGATTGTGCAAGTCAGTTTTGCTGAGTATTTTGAAGCGTGCATTCTTTGTTCTTTTGTCTTGAAACCTTGTATCCTGGTTTAATTTGTTGGTTTTTTACTGTTTTAAATTGCCAGGCCCCAGTAATGGTTTTTTGTTATATATGCTCGCTCATTTCTCTCCACCCATTAAGTTTCATTGTCATCTTTCCCTGTGCAATTCCTGCACCAACATGATGTAAGCTTGCTTCAGGAGCAAAGGATCAACAAATTCACTTCAGGAAGTGCATTTTGTGTCTCTTGAGTCATGCTTCCCCAGTGTCAGTTTTCTGTCTGAAACATCATTTCTGTTCTGCCTTTCAGCTGAGACAGATATTTTAGATATCTTTGGAGCAAAGTTTAAATCTTTTTCAATGTGCAAACATCTAAATACTAACTTATGGTTTAATTCTTTGTTCTGTAAGTTATTTCTAGTCCTGGCTTCCTGGAGCTGTATTTTCTATTGCTTGGAAAACTTCTCTGATGCTTGTATTGGTGTCACAAATCGTACCACTATGGCGATGATCATGTTCAATGTTGCTGTAGTGCTGTATAACGGTAGCCCCATTAGCATATATATGGAATTGCCTGTGCGGATTGCTGGTACCATAGTAACTAGAGTAAAAATATTTGAGGATGGAAGTGTGAGCGTATTGTGTCAGTGTAGAAGTTGGGCAAACATACTGGTAAAAGTAGAGATCAGGGTTGATCAGTGGCAAAGCAGGGGATCAGGAATATTGACCATGCAGAAGAAATTACTGTGCACGTAAGGCTGATTTATATTCTGATTTCTAAATAACAGATACATTGTACACAAATGCTTACAGAGTGTTTGTGTGCATATTGCTGATTCTTTTGTATTGCTCAGTTGTTCACTGTGTCTGTTCAGTTCCTCTGGATTATGGGTCATAAATGAGGAGGAGGGGGATTTCTAGTGAGTTAAAACCCTAAAATAGGTGGGTTTTAACTAAAGCCAAAATTAGACTTGATTTTTGTAGTGAAACCTGGGTAAAATCAAATGTACCGAGGACAATTGAGCATCCCTGAAAAATTCTGAAATGCATGGATCTGGAATTCAGATGGGGGGAGGTGAAATGTACCTTGTTTTTTCAGGTCTGTAAATAAATCCTAATAATAAAATGCAAGATTTGTATTTGGTTTGGTTTTTTTATCTGAGTATTTTACTTTTTGCCATTTTAAAGCTTTCCTACAGTTGGAGAAGAAAGAACAAAAACTAACCATCGATCAGCCGTCTAAAGGAGCAAGGAAAAATTATTCTTTCACAAATGAAGAAGTAAGACAGATTGATCGGGAAAACCAAAGGTTGCTAAAAGAACTGTCCAGACAGTCTGCAAAGCCGAGGAGAAGCAGCACCACGTTGAAGAAGTCAGCTGTACCGCCTCCTAGATTGTACCACAGTGCCCTCAACAGGCAAAAGGAGCAGCAAAGAATTGAAAGAGAAAACCTGGTAAGCTTTGAGAACTGGTGTGGATCAGTGAATTGAGAAGGACTATTTGTTGTCAGATGAGCTAAATACTTACAAAACTGATAAGGCAGCACTTGGAGTGTTACTGCACTAAGTCTGCAATGAATTTCTGTTACTATGCTATTTGCATAATTGTTCATATGGTTTTGGGGGGTGGGAACGATGCTTTTTTCAGATGAAAATATGAGTTTATGAGTTTTCTCTACTTTAGTATCATTCAGTTTAAGAGGAACAACCATTATTGGTAATACACTCATAACTCAGCAGTCTGACTATTCATCCTGCTTCATGCATCGTGATTACTAGTCTCTCAAGAAAAGGCTTGCAAAAAATAAAGCAATCGGTATGATAGCATCAAACCCATTATATTTGAACTGCAGAGGATACAATGTGAATGTAAGTTTTGGGTTTTGACTCATTTTGTAGCTGTCTGTCTCTTTCAGTATTTGTAGCACACTGCTTGTCACAGTGTTTGGATGTAATGGCAATCACAATAACTAACTTCAGTGGAAAACAAATTCAGACTCATTTATAAGGATATTGGCAGAGTTGTCAAATAACAAAAATACTACTGGTTTGAATTATATTCTTATTGATTGAATTATAATACGTATAATGATATTTTCGTATCTCCTAGTTGTTCATTAGTGTGTTTGAAAAGGAGATAAAATATAGTTAAAATATTTGGAAAATCCATTAGGCTTTAGTTCTTCCAGCTTTCAGACATCTAGATTGTTAAAACTTCAAAGTAGGAAACTTTCTCCCCAGCTCCACTAGACTGCAGTTGACCAAAAGAGCTTTATACTTCACATACTGAAAGAATTTGGCATAAATACTTGTTATAGATGTGTGATACTTGTCATTGTCTGGGAAATAAATGTTTTTCAGCTTTGGTGTTTTTAGGTTGCTAGGGCTTTCTTCGTGTATTGTGGGGGGTTTTTGGTTTATTTTTGTTGGGGTTTTGTTTAACTGTTTGTTTATTTAAAACGTTGAAAGCAGGACTTGCTCATGCTTTTCTCAGAGGCTGTAAATGAAAGAGCTGCACTACCCTGCCCGTTGATGAGGGATTTTGCTTTATGAATTTGCTCTTTTCTTCTGGTCAGCGGTTTTCTTCAGCTTCACAGACTGAAGAGCTGAAATTCTATGGAACTTCCTTATTAATCTTTGTCTATTACTTGACAGGGGATTTTTTTTTTTTTAATACAAGGCCTGAGGTACTGCATACAGGATATGCTGCTTGATACACCTTTGTGAAATGTTTATTGGAGAAGGATGCAGGGTTTTGTAAATAATTCAGGACTAGAAATCTATAACAGTAGTCTGTGCAGAGGGTTAAAGAGTTTTGATGCAGAGATTGATTTTGGTTTTCCCGGTTGGATTACAGCTTTTATAATTTATTGTCCTGAGGCTAACACCTTGTCTAGGGAAAGCTTTCACTTGTTCTGCTAGAACATTCATGGAGTAATGCCTATATTTACTGTTATCAGAAAGATAGCTTGATTTCTGGTGCAGGCATTGGGCATCAGAGGTGATGCAGGGAAAGTAATTAAAATAATAGGAAATTAGAGAGGAATCGAAGCAGTTTGGTGCTCTCTAGCTTTGTGAAAGGGTGCAAGGAGGTACAGGGGATGTAAGTTGCTCCCACAGACTCTGATAGAAAGAGCTGTGATGGAATAAAAAGGTGCATTGCCCTGGAGAACAGTAGTTACAAGGTAGTGATCAGCAATTTATGGAAAAAGCACAATTAGCAAAGTAGATCGTTAAAATTAATGTCATAATTTTGTAATTACTGCTTTTTGACTGTTTGCTCTTGTAAGTGGGACCTGATTTTGGTTGTTTATCTGAGCTAGCAAGACCAGAGTGTGTCTCTTGCCGATAGAGGATGCTGCTGATGCAGAAAACGTTCTACTCTCATGTTTGAAGATACTCGCAACCTCTTGTCCTCTCCAGTGGAAAAGGACATCAGTGTGACTGATGCGTTATGTTTTTCCCATGTCTGCATATACGTGTGTCTACTTGTATTGACGTATTAATAATTTCTTCTGCCAGTATAAATAAGATACTTCATTTCATAGACCACGCACTACACGCCATTTAAACTTTTAATGGCGTATTGTGTAATACAAAAATCCTTACTGATATATACAGGTAAGTATTTGGGGACTTTGAAATACAGATTTGCAGCCACCGCACCATTCTTCAGTCATTTCATCTAAACTTAGAAGTAATTCATATATCTGTGTTGGGTTTTGGTGGGGGTTTTTTAATAATTTTTATTAATTCTGACTAGATTTAGGTTTTAGTTGACCTTAGTGAGCTAAGCAGCTATGTTCAGCCAAGTTACTAGGGAACAAGTGACCTTTTGAGTTTACACTGGAAGCTCACTGGAAGATCTCAGCAGGACTGGGACAGCAGTTCTCAAATCTTCGGTCAAGGGGGATGAGGGTGTTCTCCTTTTCTGTGGATATTTTATCTTCCCACGCATCCTCACTGTATGTAACACTCCGTGATGTTCATTCCCCCACCTCATACTCCCCCAAAATGTACCCTGAGTCCCAACAGATCCAATTCTGATCCCAGTTCCCTCCCAGACAAATAAAAAAAATCACTTACTCTGTTTCTCTGCCAGGGCTCTCTTTCTCTTTTCACCTGCTTGGTTCCCTGAGTCATCTGTGCTGCACATGTCATTAATGCTTCTCCCCAGCACTTTCCATAGTCGTCGTGGCCTCTACCAGCACAAAGATCCTCCAGCGAGGCTATTTCCCTTGTCTTGCAGTCTGGGCTGCCTTTGTTTTGCTGGAAAACCTGAACATCCTTTAGAAACACAAGTACTGTACTGCGATAAATGAATCTATATTCATTTGTCTCCACTTGATTTAATGGTGCTGGTGGGCTGTGGTAATTGGGTGGGAAGAAAAGGTGGGGAGGGATAGTGCCTCTGGCCATCCCCCTAACTGGCTGCCACCACGTATGAAGAATATAACTTATCTTGAGCCACAGCCTTCAATCCTGTGCTGCAGTGCGCATGCCCTGCCCTCTGTGCCATGCTGCAACCCAGGGAGATAACTTCTAGGCATCAGGTTTGTGCCTGGGCACCTTGTACTTTCCTCCCTTGATATATTCAGCACTGATTTTTCTTTGCTTTCCCTTTGTCCTGTCCCCAAGGACCAGCCCCAGAGTCTGAGAGCATCAGGCCTCGGATGCTGCATACTTATGTGGTTGTAGAAAGAATACCAAGGTGGTTCAGCCTTACTGGTCTCAATCTGGAGAAGGCTATTGGGAATGCAGTTGTGAAAGAGAATGTATTCTTCTGGGTCATCTTAGGAGCTCAGAAATATTCGTGTTGAGTTGGTGGCTCCTTAGAAACCCAAGCGCACAGGGTTTTATAAGATATTTTCGCTTGCGTTCAAAGCCGTTGTATGCCAAGACTAAAGACAAAATGTTGGGTTGTTCCTGAGATTACAAAGTACAATGCAAAAAAAAAAAGTTTCCACGGCCCCCTCATCAGGGGAAGCTGTCGGGACATGGGACTGGCGTGCAGATGTGCCTGTGCCTGGCTAAAATATACTGCAGTACCGTACAAATATAGTGCAGTTCTGTGATCATAGTATTTAGGCTGTAGGCTGTTTGTGGTCAGATTTTTTGTGGTCTGCTGATTCCTGATCCAGACTTGAGATTCCTGAACACTGCTGTGGAAACTATAATGAAGACTGACTAATTGGCAGGTTCAAGGAAAGTTTTGATTATTTTGCACACTGCTTAATTTTTGTGGGATTTTTTTTTTTTTACTCTTAATCTGCTTGCTTTCTGGTGATGACAGGCACACATAAACTTGTTGGCTGTTCAGTTTAAAAGACTTCTGTAGATTGAAGAACTTTTAAGAGTTTCTTGACATCTAGAGTTTGTCAAGTTAGAGCTAATTAATGCAACTGGCAATTGAAGAAAATCACAAATACTTGTATTGATAAGAACAGAGAGCTGTCCTTGAATGCACTGTTATCTGCTTCCCCCTCCCCCACCTGGACTCTGCAGAGTGACAGTGTGGTCACTAACATCAGTGACATTAGAGGAGGCATAATATAAATAAATTTGAACAGCTGTCGAGGCACACAAGTCAGCTGGTTAGGATTCAAAGGAGGTGAAACTGAAGCCTTCATGCATTTAAAAAGCAAAGCAAAACAAGAAAAAGTAATGTTTTTTACCTTCTCTCTTACTCAATTTAGGAGTGCTGCATTGTCGGTGTTTTTTTTCTTTCTTTTTCAACATAGCTGCAGAAAAGTGTGTACTGAATTTTTTTTTTCTTTTTCTGACAGAGAGTGTTAGGATTAGCTTTAGTGCTCTCCTGATATGCCCAAAGTTGAGTTAGCAGCATTTATCTTGGCCCATTGTATGGCAGCAATCTTCTGATACTGTGTCAGGTTCCTTTGTTCTCTGGTTGCTGGCAACCTGACGTTTCCTTCTGTCATTGACAATATGTATTTTAGTGTATTTGTAGCTACTAATCTATGTCCAGATGTCTAAATATATAAAGGATAATCCTGTTCCTAGAAGGTAATCATGCAGGAACACATTCTGTGATATTTTTTTTTTTTAATATATTATTATTCTACTTTTATTGTAAACTCAGTATTATAATGAAGTAAAAGAATATGGGGGAAATAGAAGCCTTGGGAGGCTTTTGCCAAGCTCTGAGGTCATCAATGGTATGATGTTATATATGTATTGAGCTTGAATCAACAGCTCTGAGGAGCTACAATGCAATTTAGAGCAGCTAGTAACATTCTTGCAATTACTGTCTGCTACTAATTTTTTTTTTATTCCTTAAATGTTATCAGGAATGTATATTTGGCTCTGAACACCTGGATAGTGTTAATGTGATCTGATTCTTTGGTCATTAAGATCAATGACAAAATTTCTATTTACTTTAGTGGTTCAGGATTTAGGCTCCAGAGATTCAGCACTTCAAAATAACAAGGAAAATGGCCGTGTTCTTCAGTACGTTTCCCAAAAGGAGAACATAATGAAAGAGTTAGTAGATTTGTACGTATAACTGAGAAAGAACATTTGTTGAAGGTACTTGTACCATTGTACAAGGTAGTTCCTTGGTTAAGGACCTCAAGATTGTAGGGTTGGTAATAAAAACATAAGAATCAGATTAGTTCCAGGTTACAGATTTAGTAGGTCAGGACTGCTGTTTCAGTGCGTTGATGAGTTCATTTCCGTATGCAGCAGGCTGTTCTCCAAACTGCAAAAGTCATGACTGCAAGTACTGTGTAAGTTAACATGTCCCGGTACAATTCGCAGCAGAGGGCAAGGGAACCACAGGAACTATTCTCCCATTCTCTAGAAGAGCTTTTCTTTGAACACTTCTGCACCACAGAATCTGTATCTGCTCTTCCTGTAGCTTGGGGCTGTACCAAGTCCAGTGTTAACCTGTTCAACAAGTGACATTTTAGTACTGAGGGGGGTCTTTTTTTTTTTTTTCCTTTAGTAATGGGGGCTTGATACTTGTCAAAATGCAGGCAAAAGAGCAAAAGCAGAGAATTGTATTTAAACTAGAATAAAGTGGGCATATATAAATATTGTATGTTTAGAATCCAGCTTGAAATTCTGCAGTGTTAAGGTATGCAAATTCTATGAGGCTGTTGCAGTTGGAGTGCAGACTTGAAACGTGCTCAACTCTCATAGGGAAGTCACTTCTACAATTTACCCAATCCATTTGTGATTGAACTGAATGTATTGAGAGCTTTCATTTTTAATATTGAAGGTAAAGAAGTGATCTCTGCAAGTCTAAACGTATGTAGTAGTATTAGGAGATGTGGATGAAGTTGTGAGTAAAATGTTGGATGTAACATTTAGAGACAAGTCTACCATTTCGTGTTCTGCAGCTGGCTTTAGTGAAGAGCTATTTCTAGCCGAAGTCCTTCCTTTGACTTTTGCTTACTTAGGTATTTCCACTTGACGATGAACTGACTGGCACTTGATGCAAGCACTTGTGACTTGCTGTGTCGGAGCCAAAATCACTTGTCCTTTCTCTCTTGTGCACTCTGTGCAGGTTTCCAGTGCCTGTGCATAAACTACCAAGAGTTTGTAGATTCCTGTTACAGCTAGACAATTACAACTGACATCCTGTGAATACTATACTATTTCCTAAGTCACTTTCTGTAAATTTTTTATTCTTCTTAAAAAAAAAAAAAAATCGGTACCTGATTGGGAGTGGGGAAGAATGATCGTTTCGAAGGAAGTGCAGTTTAATGGCTATACAGACAGATTCTTGACTTCTGCCGTATACGTATGCATCTACACAGTACATCATTATTAACAGAGGTATTTTTAGTACTTTGGAGACTTCTGTAATCGCATTTGCATTGTCTCTCGTTGATAGGATGCATGTTATAACTCTGACAAGCAATGGTTGCGTCATTGCCAAATGTTTGTAGGACATCAAATGACTTGAAATTAGTTAGTGGAGGGAATGTATAGATCTATGCAAGGCAAGCACTGGAGCCGAAATGTATTAAAAATGTGAAGGTATTAACTGGAGTTGTATGTAGCTGGGTACTTCCAAATTTGTCCTGCCGTCAAGTTCTTTTTTTAGATACTGGGAATTTCTTACACCAATAAATCCTGTTTCGGGTAGAAGTAGTTATGCAGAATGGGAAACTGTCTGTATCTCACAAATACTATGTAAGTAGCTGTTCTAATGTAATGCTTGCTATATGATTGCCAGGGTTAATCTCAATAAGAGGAAATTATGCCTATAACAATAATTTCAACCAGAATCTCCTAAAATTATATTATGGATAAAACAAATAGTATCTAGGAGATGTTTGTGCTTTCCTTCTGACATTACTCTCAAAGAACTGAGGTCAGTAATTCTCTCTGGGGATCCTGTAGGGCAATATAAAATGGTATAAATAGGTTTGCAAAGCAAAGATTAAAAAAAAACCCTATTTCTCATCCTTCTGGAAAACTATGAGAGAGGAGCAACCAAAGGTGGGATTAGAAGAGTGCAGCTCATCTCACCATTTTTACTATCGCCAGACAGATGTGTTTTTTCAAGTTATCACAAAGAACTATTGGGTACTAAAGATGTACTCAACAGAGAACTGATGATTTATAAGGGATAGTTACTATTTGTGTCATAACACTGAGAAAAGAATTGAATGTGAGCAGAATAGCCTATGCTGGTCACCACTGGAGGAGTTTGTGTTACGCAATGCTAAAAATTTGGAATAAAAAAATCTGTGAATGTTTGTTTTGTAGCTTCTTGTTCATTCTTTCTTGATATTTTTCTTCAATGTTAAGGCTTTCCTGAAAAGACTGGAAGCAGTGAAACCAACAGCTGGTATGAGGCGTTCTGAACAGTTGATGGACTATCAGCGCCAGATGAGTTACCTAAGTTCTTCACCGTCTGTAAGAAGAGGAAAGTCTGCATTCAGCCAGCTTAGTCCTTCGAGTAAGTACTTGAAGTTGCAGATTCTTGCACTTCTTTGCATGTGTTTATTGTGTTATAATTCAGAATTATGAAGCACTTACTGCTAAGAATAGTGTATAAGCTCCTTTCTCTGTCTTCCTTAGGTTGATCATTTATCACACAGAAATCAGTAAAGTGACACCAGAAGTATGATGACTATGAATTGTTTACTTACCATCCTAAATTTCTAATAAATTATCTTGTAATCATCTTTTCCAAGAAGGTCAAAAAAAAATCCCTGTTGTAAAGAAGTATTTCTCATTTTGCCAGTACCCTTGGAAGGAGTATAGAAAGGAGAAGAGAAGGGGGGGGGCGACAGGGATGGAGGACATGACCAACATAAAAACCCCAAAGAAGGTTCAAATTCTCATTCAGAAAATGTGACTCTACTGATAGGAGCCTTGTTCCTCTTAGAAATTGTGTGTGTAGTATTTGGAAGTAGATTGTGCATCCCCACAGATCTGTACATGTCAGGTTAAAGAACTGCAGCGCTATGGCATAAGCATGAATTCTGTGTCCTGACCATTTACAAACAACTTGTAACATTTGGTGTTTGTATTCAATTTATTGTGGTTTAGGGTTTTTTCTGGAAACTATGGTAATGAGCGTTGCAGTATTAATATAGCATGAAGTTTTCTGTTGCAGCAAGCATAATTATTTCACACTTTTTTTGTGTGTGTGTGTGTGTGTTAACAGGAGGCACTTCAAGAGCATCCACTGTACCAAGTACAATGAGCCAGAGGAACGAAAAACCTGTGTCTGATTCAGCCAGTGGGGCATTACAGAGACCTAAACCCACTACTGTTCGTGCTGCTTGGTTATAAGTGTGTTCTTTGCCTCACATTCTGAGGTGATCCTCAGACTTGTATTTTTAGTGCTTTTGTAAATTCTATGTGCAAAAATATTTTCTGCATTGTTCAGTGATTAAAATGCATCGCATATGATATAATTGCTTAGAAAATGGTTTTAAGTTAACTTTCACTTCAGTCAGTTTGTCATGCCAGAAAGAACTTAGGAAAGAGAAGGAGGTATTTCAAAATATAAATTGCTAATTATTATTTTATTCTCAAATCACAAGTGGATTTTATATCCATAACATGGAAGGACAGAACTGCTGCACTATAGGTGCAAGATGTAAAGAAAATCTTTAAAATAATAATACTTAAAAATGTTACATTAAACTCATAAGCATATGCTTAATTCCTTGATTATCCTCATTTTTCATATTGGCTTTAGGTGAGCCTTCTGAACTTTGTGGGTCATGGTCTTATGACTGAAAGAATCTTATTTTTACAGCAGCATGAAGGGGTGAAAAGCAGATTGTGTATTCCTGCATGGTTAACTAGAATACTGAGGCTGCAGAAGATGATGTTCTGCCACTCTTGCACTCCAGGTGTTGAACGTTTGTTTTGTACTCAGGCTGTATCCCTTTCAGATTTAAGGGATTTTTAGAAGTTGCATTATGACCTTTGTGTAGGAAAGAAGCATCTGATGCTATTTGAACAAGAGTAAAGACTGAAGTGAACAACAGTTTCGGATTCAGTCTAAACAAGACTAAGTTTTAGTTGCTGCTCAAGCTAGAGAATACTAAGCAAGGGAAATATTTCTTGGCCCTGCTTTTGCAGATCCTTGCCTTTCTCGGTGGGGAAATGTAAACTTGAGCTGCAGGAAACTTGGAACATTTGATTTTTGAGTGACGACTAACCAGGATTAAAAAACAAAAAGTAGACAACAGAAAATCTTCGTTATGCTTCTTAAGCTGTTTTTTAATGTCACGTTCATACCAAATATTTGTTGTAGTGTCAGATACGCTTCAGAGCAACATGTATTTACAAGGGGAGCAAAATTTAATGGAATTGGTTATCGCAAATAATAGCTGGTATGCTTTATTTCTATACATAAAGGCAAACTTTGAGTGAGCTTATTTTGTAGGCATAAATTGTGATGCCACTATCCAGGGATGTTGCTGGAACCCTGCTTGCTTCCCCAGCTTCTTCCCAGGAGAGATGCAGGAAATCTCTTTGTATTATGCATAAAGAAAAAAAAAAGCTGTATTCAGTCATGCTGGGTCTTAGCCCTATGTAAAAGGAAGTTTATTATTCTTTGCTTGTGCTTGCGTGAGGGCTTAGGCTTTCAGGTATTCTGCGTTGTAACAAACTTTTTACTTGGTCTTGTGTGATAGTTTGGCAGAGCTTCTGCACCTGGTGACCTGCCGATTAAATTTAGCTGTTTGACAATATTGAAACTTTTAACTTTAAGCAGCATTGTGGCAAACAGATTTTTATTGCAATTATTATTCGTTGATACAGACTGTAAAGAATTTTCGCATAGTGCTGCTGTATTTATTTGTACTATTGTGCTGATTAAAATTATTCACTATTTAAAGATTTTTGTCCTTGAATGTGAATATCGGGGTCACAGTATAAATACTTTTGAATGTTCATAAGGTAATTTTTTTTCTGTGAAGGAATTCACAAAATGGATTACTTTTAATCGCTTCATCTTATTTAACTTTGGTATGAAAGACTGTCAATTTTGTATGTCATTTTTGTAAATCATAAGAAATAAAATATTTAACATGAATTGTTTGTCATTGCAGTGGCTGCTTTCAGAATTTTATAATTGGTATTGAAGCGCAAAGGAAGTAATGGGAGAAGTGTTTTGTACTACATGTATGTCATGAGTTGAGGCTGGGCCGGCCACTAACAAATGACAGACACTCTCTATTAACCCCTCTCCCCTCCCAGAAGGTGAAGGGAGAGAGAACAAGGGAGAGAGACTTTACGGTTTGGAAAAGAAAACTAAAACAGCTTCAATGAAATGGTAACAGTAAAAGAAAAGATAAGGCAATAATGAAATATATACAATATGTACAAATATAGACCAAACCAGTACCGAACCCAACTTCGCACCCCCCCTCTGATGACAATACGTCACCACCACGGTGCAGAGCTGGCACTGGGGCAGTCCCAGGCTGGACTGGCAGCAGACAGGGACGGGATGCAGGAGCTGGACTCAGGCACTGGATTCAGGGATGCACAGATCGGGATCGACAACAGAAGAACAGACAGAGTCCTCCTCAGATGTCGGCCATCGAAGAAGAGAGAGAGAGACCCTCATGATCTCTCAGCTTTACAGTGACTATGATGTCTATGGGATGGAATACTCTGTTGATCAGGTTTGGGTCACCTGTCCAGTTCGCTCCTCCCTGTAGGTGCGACCCGTTTCACTCCCGGCACCCCAACACGGAGCACAAGATCTAGCAGTGACCTTGGTTGCTGTAAGAACAAGTATAAGCAAGGGCCCCTCTGCATCCCATTCCTTGGTACGAACTATAAACATCAGGCCTTGTCACTGCTGGAAGCAGTCAGTGTCTGGAAAAACATGCTGCTGTTTCAGAAAGTGCCGTTAGTTAGAGGAGACTTAACTGAAAAGTTAAAGCACTAAAACAGAATTAGTTCTGGTTTAGCCCGAACCAGGACAATGCCGTGGAGGAAAATGCAAAGAATCAGTTTATTCATTGATAAGCTTTACCTGTTGGTGACCTTGGTGTGGGTTTTTTAAAATAAGCCCTATTGACAGGTCTTCATTAGGTTAGATAATCCCATTGAGATTTCTATAACAAAAAGTCCTGTTTCTAACTGACTCATTTTCTGTCTTTTTTTGTAAGCTGTCACTTTATGTTCTCTTCTACTATTTTTTTATTTTTTATTTCTCTAGAAGAACTATTTGAAGGAAAAGTGCAAGGTGCTTTAGTTCTTCCTTAAAGTGATCTTCTTGCCAGTTTGGGTGACAGCACTTGGTGTATTGATCTCACTACTATGAGAAATGGACTGTGATGCCTCTGTCATGTTCTTGCTCTGAAAATATCCCTACCTCACTGTGGGCTCTGTTTCTTCTAGGATAGGGTTCTGCTGTGTAGTCTTTCTGCAGTACTGAAGGCCTTAAAGAAGGTCCTAGCTCAGATCACTGAGTATATGAGGACAGGGAGTAATGATGTGTCCCTGTCTGGACAGGTGACATGTGAAGGGCATTTTCCCCAGCAGACCACTGAATCCTAAAACTAAACACTAAATCTAAAACCCTGTTTTAATCCCAGTGAACCTACGATACTCACGCTAATTTGGAAGAATCGCACAAGGCCATCCCTCATATAGAATGTATAGGCTTTCCCCTGTGCCAGAGCCTGTCTTCTATCAGACTGCTTGCAGTCTTTACTGAACATCCTGAGGCACCTCTGCTGTCATCCTGCCACTCAGATGGGGGTTTGTCTGATTGCCGTAGATCAAATGGCTGGCCGGATTTATACGTCTTCTGTGGTGTATGTAGACTTTACATTGGACTGTATTTTCCTGATTTTCATCTAATGAGTTACAGGACAAACCTGTGTAAAAAGCCTGAGACACTTCCTTCTAACACGTCACCAGTAACATTTTTATCCCAGTACTCTTCCTTGTTCTCCATGATCAATAGACAAAAATAACCTCCTGCCTTCCCAACCTTGGTAGGTCATCTGGTAGGCGAGAGCTTGTGCTTTTCCCTGGAGCACAGTCTGCACATCAGTGTGGTGGAGATGATGTAAGTGACCTCAAGCCTTCTAGCTGTGTAGTCATGACTGTCATGTGCAGGCAATGATGAATATTTCCACTGTGATCTATCAACAAGAAAATGGGCATGGGGGGAAGGCTTCTTCTGCATAGAAGTAGTGTATCTTATGAGCCAGGTACACTGAACACCAGGTGCAATCTTTGTGGTGTTTACCTGCTCAAAGTCTTGAGCGAAGTAGTGGATGAACCATGTAATTTCCACCTAATGAATGAGAAACATAGAAATAAGAGCTGCATCTGGAGCCATCTTCTAGGATTTAGTTATGTTGAGGTCCTACTGTTTTCAGGTATCATCAGCAGGGTTTGCTAATGCTTGCAATACACATCTGGTTTGTTTTCCAGATGTGTGATTCTAATACCTTGGTCAAGAAAGCTGCTGTATATCTCCTGGTAACTCTCCTCCTGGCCGAAATGAGACATGATTTGGCAATGTTAATCCCTGTAGTAGCTACCACTTCTGGCTCCAGGACTACCTGTGTTACTGCAGAGTCCTAAAATGCCCTTCTCCATAATTTTAATTCCAGGCTGTGATGGTGTTCAAAAATCACAGTTCTCTCCACCCTTATATGTGGTCAGAGCTTGGCATAAGAATGACAGGTCTCAGTTCTATCCACCCAGTGGCTCTTAGGACTAGAGCATGCTGTTAAAAGATTTTGCTGGTTTAAAGTGAGAGGGATGTCACAAGGGGAACACAGGTGGCTGAGATTTGCCACCTGGGGCATGGTGCTGCTTTCCTTGACATCCTAGGTTGGCTAGAGGTACTCTCCAGCTGAGATTATCCAGTCACTGTAACTGTGGCATCCCTGCAGATGAAATAGTCTGGGTTTTGAACAACTTTTAGCAAGGTTTTTGCCTTTTGCTATGCTTCTCACCATGTCTTAAACTCTTCCCTATGGCTTTTAAAGAACTGATGGCTGCTCCTTCCGTGATAAGTGTAGGGCAGAGAATGGAGGCTATCACCTTCAGAAAGGCAGAGAAGGTTCAATCTGCTGTCATAGATTCTCCCTGTCCCACTCTCTGCTGCAGGCTCTGCTCTTTAGAGACAGGGTTCTTTCAGGCCCTTGTGAATTTCCTAACTTCATCTTCTTCTCCCAAAAGATCAGCATACCTCAGTTCCCTCCCCAGGTAGTGTCCTTTCAGAGCTGGGTAGTACAGCACATGCTGGATGGTAGGTGGGCTTTGTCTTTCTGTGTTAGTAGGATATAGCACCAGGCTATTCAGGGCAGGTTTCCCAGTGTTCAAGTGTGATGTAAGGGAATAATGGTTTTGTTGCAGGCCTTTGCCTGCATAGTTTCCCCGTGACTAACTACTGCAAAGGTGCAAAAGGATTGGGGCAGTGGTATCAACTGTCTGCGACAACTGAGGTTCACCTGACTAGAGTTCAAGTGGCAGTTAGAGACTACCTGCAAAGCTGTCTATTTTCCAGCTTTGCAGAGCTGATATAGCTGGATTTTAGGTAGCACTTTCAGCGCTATGCTGAGTGCCACAGACTCGGTGCAGAGCTGCTTTCAGGTTATTTCATGGACAGTTTTGAACTCTGACCCCAAGTATCCTTATGGAGAGTACTGCCTGACGTCTGCCACAGGGTGTGCACGTGCATAAGTATTCAAGCAGAAATAAGGAGCCATTTACCCATAAGTGTTTTCCATATGTATTATTTCATGGATTGTCTCTTTCCCCAGCAGAATTTTCCTGCAGTGCTAGTCTTCACTCTCCCTTTCAGTAGCCTTTACTCCCCCTTTTCTTTTTTGCCTTTTTTTTTTCCTGGAATATAACACCTTCTTTCATTTATGTTCAGCTGAAGTTTCTTTTGCTTCAGTTCTCTTATTGCTCATTTACACATACACTTTCCCCCAAGATTTGGCACCTCTCTCTGCATTTTACAATCTGTCATTGTCTCTGGTATCTTTGTAGCCAACTCAGATCTCTGAAACATCCAACTGCCATATGCAACATTGTGAGTGAGGTAAATGTGAAATAAATATTTGCAGTGTGTTAGCAGGCTTCTCATAAGGAGCCATTAGGAATGTGTGGAGGAAGGAGAAAGGAAGAGAAAGGGCAGAAACAGGCAGGTAAGGCTTTCAACTACTGCAATAAGCACTTTGAAAAACAGTAGAGAGATTTTTCTTCACAAACTTCCAGTTCAATAGGTTGCAACCCTGGCTATTTACTACTGGGAAGAAAACAGACCAGGTATCTAGAAAAGCAAATGTTTAAGATAGTGGCCATGAAAGAAGGGAGATGAAACAATCAGGCCGGGTTGAAAGAGACACTATCTTCCAATGACAAAAAATAATTAAATTTAGGTAATTTAAAAGTGGACTACCATTTTTGGACCATTTTTTTTTTCCCCAAAATGCTTCAGTTGTTCAGGTGGATAGATGTTGCTTCTGGATACTGTTTTAATAACTTGTACCTACCTTCAGGGAGACAGAGCTGATGGTCTGAATCCGTAGCAGACACACAGCCCATCATGCTAAGTGACAGAGAGCCAGGACTACCTGCATCTGACAATAAAGTAATTTAAAATGTAAGAAAGGGATAACTGGAAGCCATACATATGAAATAAAAGATGCAGGTGAAATAAAAACTTACTTGAGTATTACTTGCTTAGTCTTACCCTTTTTCCTAGGGGGATACATAACAAAGATTTGTTTATATGTAGTCTAACTGAAGCTCTGAAATGGACACAACACACTTTCCTTCCTTTGCCTAATTAGAGAGCCTGTTCTTCAGTGTGTTCATGACCATGCAGCATTTAAAGTTTAAAACATCTGTATTGAGCATGCTCTGATCTCACTGGTAATTAATAGCTCAAGTTGTTAATAACTGTATGGCTGGAAGTATAGTTATTAAAATAACTCAGAAGTATTCCACTCTAAAATACTTTTTCAAGTAAAATAAGCAGCAATGACTTCACTATCAAATGAAGACACACTTACTTCAAGGTTAAGGGTAATATAACTGAATCATCAAAGCAGCTAAGACTATACGGTTGTTTATCTCCAAGACAACTTGATGCAATCTCAAGCTGAATCCACTTGGTTTTGCTACCTAAAGCCCTGTTGAAAAAAACTTTCAAGAGGCTTAGGCAGTACCAGACAATCACCTAATAGTGTGCTGAGCAGCACAGCACCTTAAAGGAAATGTACTTGTAATGTGTTCAGTGTACTGAAAACAACAGGAAAAAGCTCATTAATATATTAATTTATTTCATTATTTCACTTTTAGTTCAATTGAACATCAGACCAGACAACTTTTTGCTTTGTGAAGATACAGGGAATTTTTGAAACACTGTATTTCCGTATTCTACAAAGTATGTTTGAAAAATCAGATTATGGTTTCAACCATATGATTGTATAACTTGTCAGTGAAGAGGCTGCAGTTAGGAACTCAGCCTGGTACTTTAGTGTAGCTCATATTCTCAGACAAGCTCTTCACTTAACACAGTATTAAAAAATACAGCTTTAGAAGAAAACATGATTTTAATTCATGTTATAAATGTCATCATGCTGTTGGGTAGCTAGAGACATCACTTAGTAAAACAGGTATTTCTGAAGATCTCATTAAGAGTTCACAATATTAAACTAGGTATAGCCCACCTAAGTCTTGTCTCTAGACAAAATGTATTACTTGAAATTTGAAGTATAATATATACACAGGTTCCAATACAAATGTTGGAGGAATTTTCATATAAAACGTAACTGTGACGTAACAGACAATTTTTAAATCAATGCATCCTCATCTCAACCAGATATGTTACTCAAATTTTATTCTGTTTCCCTAGGAAATATTTTGTTGTCCATTACATCACAATAGCATATATTTTTAAAAAAAGTTGATTGAGAACAATTGAACTACATTATGATGTTGGTTTAGACATATTTCTTAATTTCATCATAAAGTACTAATACAAAAGCTCCACCCATGCCTCTCAACACATTCGACCAGGCACCTTTGAAGAACGCTTTGGATCCTTCATCTTTGGCTATCTTCTTCCAGCAATCAATTGTGCCCTTGTACATAATATCAGCTGTGGAAACAGACATGAAGGTCAGAAGGCTTGAAGTTACATAGCAAGTCTGTTTCAACTTTCATGTATTTAAAATAAGGAATAAGCAAAGTACAGCCAAGAATTTAAAATTAAGTCATCAATTAATGAAAAATAATCTTAATCCTCCACATGGAAATCAAAACAAATCAACTCACAGACTCTTAAGTGAACATGACAGAAACAACCAGCAATGTGTTTCCCATACTTTTTTTAAGGATTCCAGTAAGAAGGTCATTAGTCTTCCATAAGACATCTTATTACATCCATCTCCTGTCATATCTCAATTAAGAGATACTTCCTGCTGCCAGAACAACATAGGAGCACTTATTCTTACCTCCCTTTCGGCCAGACTGCATCATCATCCTACGTCGCACAGTATCAAAAGGGTAAGAAACCAGCCCTGCTACTGCAGTGACAGTCTGGGCAATCATCCAGCTGACTACGATATGCACATTCTTTGGATCAGGCAACATACCTGTCATCAAGAACAAATGAGCAGAGTCAGTATGGAGGTAAAGGGTTGTGGGAAAGATGGCTGAGGAAGGAACAATCACCCACCGACCCCAGGAGCCACTCAATCAAGTCAACTCAATCAAGCCTGCAACTTCTCCCTTCACCCATATTTGACTATTAACAGGTACTATGAAAGAAACAAGTTTACAGGACTGTTGGATTTTGGAATCTAAGCCCTCTTCATGCTCCCTGACCGAAAAAGTCTCTCCTGCAGAATCCTACCAGGCTTGTGTCATGAGTTGCAATAAGTAACAAACTACCATACAAGCCTTAAGACAGAGAAAGAAACTGGAAAATGTCCAAAAACATTCTGGCAAACCCAAGGCTTC